TCAAACAAAAGTTCAAAAGCAAAAACAAGTAAATAAAAACAAATGCGCTGGAAATATGACTAAGTGAAAGAAACACACAATCAACAGAAGATCGCAAAACATTTTGAAAATCAACTTCTTCAAAACTAAAAGATACTGAAAATAGTTGACTAAAAAAAACCTTGCAAGCAGTCACAATTCTCAGCCTCTTTCCTGACAACATCGAGGACGGAGTCGATCAACTCAGCTCCTTCGGTGTAGTGTCCCTTGGCCCAGTTATTTCCGGCACCGGACTGTCCAAACACGAAGTTATCAGGCCTAAAAATCTGACCATACGGCCCAGATCTGACACTGTCCATGGTTCCGGGCTCCAGATCCATGAGCACGGCCCGAGGAACAAACCGTCCACAACTCGCCTCATTGTAGTACACGTTCACTCTCTCAAGCTGCAGATCGTTGTCACCGCCGTACCTCCCCGTCGAGTCGATCCCGTGCTCGGCGCACACCACCTCCCAGAACTTAGCTCCGATCTGGTTGCCACATTGGCCTCCTTGTATGTGAAGAATCTCACGCATTTTCAGAGAGTGAGTTCGAGACTGATATTATTTTTCTCTTTGAGGTGCAGAAATGAGACTGAAGCGAGAGTGCGAGACTGAGACTAGGGGTAGAAAAGAGGAGATATATATATAGGAGGGATTTAACGGAGTGATGTTTCGCCGTTAGATAGGGCGAGATTGGACGGGGATTGTACGGAATCGTTAGATTTAAGGGGGAATTTTGAATTTTGAAATTTTCAGAAAACTGGAAAACATATATTTGGTATTTGTTTCTGGAAGACCACGCGAGTATATGAGAAGGAGCAGTACACGCGCTTGTGGCATGTGGAGAAGAAAGAAAAGGCTGGTGGATAGGGTTGTGTTGTGTCTGTTACCTTGCACATGCAGAGTACAAAGCGGCCACGTGATTGGGAAGAGTGTCATGTGCCTAGCACTTTCAGAAAAATCTAAAAGTAAACAATTTTATTGGTTAAATAAATAATTTATCAACAAACATATGGTCAAAATTTTCTAGAGAGTCAAATAATTCGACAATTTTTTTTCTTTAAAATATTAGAAATTAATTAAAAAAATCAATTTTATTGAAAAGAAAATATCTGGGAACAGATTTAAAAATGAAGCTTATAAGTGGCCGAAAAGGGGACAGTTTTGTTTGTTAAGAAAGGGATGAAATAGAAGTGGATTTTGTGTGTTGGTCCCTAGTGATAAAGGTGTGGGAAAATCATGATTCGTACCAAACGCGAGGGTTACTTGAAGTGACAATTGTGAAGTGCAGAAATGGCCCCATATGACATGGGAAAACAGGAGAAGAAGAGGGATTGAAATGGACAAAACTAGAAGCAATGTATATTTAATCAAAACTGACAACAAAGTGAGAGCAGATGTGCCCCAACCCTTGGTTACCAAGCTAAGTATCTCCCCCTTTTTAATCATGTTCTTGCCCTTCCTTCCAATCCAAACCCACTCCATATGATTGATATTTTGTGCACAATCAGATATTTAATGTTATTTATTTGTAGTTCAAGTTTACAAGTCTTCATTAGTTTTAATAATCATTATTCAACATTACAAATATATTTGTGATGTGTTAGGTACAAACCATGGTTTATACCACATTTTTTATTTTTTATAAAGCAAAGTAAGCAAACAAATAATATAGGCATTTGACAATTTTTTTTTTTTTTTTTTTTAGGTATTTGAAGTATCCAGACCCATATTAGACCCTATCTAATGCTCAGGGCTATAAAGACCCTACTAAATCTAATGGACCAAGATAATTACATAAATATAGTACTTTTTCCTACCACTCAAACATAAAACCCCCTTGGTATAACTGCCCCTAAAGCTGGTCAAGGACCAATCCCAAGCAAGCCCGGGGCCTGGGACAAGTCGCTCATAGGCTTGGGACCGGTCCGAGGTCCATAGCAATTTTAGGACCTAGACCGATCCTATGAGCTTGGAAAATTTATTTTTTTCTCCTGATCTTTTTTTATATTTTAGGGGCGAAACGAAATTTTGTAGGGGGTTTTTAATATTTTTCAAAGGTAGATTAGTAAGTTTTTTAAACGTTTAATTAATTTTAAAAAATAATAAAATAATAAATAAATTAATAGTTAATTTTAACATAAATGTAATATTCACATTTCATACATTCACGCTTCAAAAATAAACAATTAAATAAATTTTTTTATTAAATTATTCATCTTCATCGTCAACAATATTTACATCATTCAAATATGTATTCCTAAAGAGTTCGAGTAGTTCAAGATCTTTAGGGTGCTATTTTAGTCTTCTTTCTGCATGAGTTCAATCCCGTAAATATGTTATCACTTCAATCATCTCATCGGTTAAAGAACATCTTCTGTCTTCAACAATCCAGCCACTCGTTGAAAATGTTGACTCAGATGCAATTGTAGAAACTGACACAGATAAAATGTTGTTAGTATATATTAGTGTATGCCCTAGAACCCATTCGTGTTGTCGGTTTCAGAGCATTTTGTCTTGTATCTATATATAATAAATAATAGAAGAAAGAATTCTTCAATTCATATATATAAATTGCTTCCTTTATTTAGTCATGCATTTAAAATAAAGTACGTATATGAATTGTCCAGATGATTCATTTAATTGGTAAATGAATTATCGAAAAGGGTTCCCTACGGAAGCAATATAATTTGGGCAATTATATTGCATAGTAGGCATATTGGATGCTTCCAAAAGATATCATAAGTTAATATAAGTACGGATGACGATGATAGTCATGTCACTGGGGCATTGGTATGGATTAGCCGTTGGTGAATTGTTTTTCGAATGTGACCGAATAACGACAAATCACTTGAAAAATCATGTAGTCAATGATTTATCATTTGGTTATATTAGTGCACGATGTAGTCCTTTGACTTGAGACATTGTGGTCTCCGATACAGATGCGTATGGTTCATACGGTGTATAAGTATGAGACTAGTCATGTTTCGTATGATAAAACCTATTTGGTCATGCGTTGTTCATATACGGAAACGAACGATGGTCAAGAAGAGATCCATTGACTCGGAAATATAAGATTAGGAGTACCGTGACTCCATCCAGATTCGAGTTCCTGGTCGAACGTTGATAAATGTCAGAAATCAGAATCTCTGACCAGAGTCTATTATTAGTCATACAAAAGCAAGTTTGTGATGATGAGTTCCAGACATATTGATAAATGATTCGATAGAAGATTGAGTTTGGGATTTTGACGTTCCATGAATCCGTGCTCGATCAGGATATATCAATGGAGGGATTTTACCTGCATGGTACATATGATCTGAAATGGGTTCGATGAAGTATTTCTTCATCGTGATTTAGGGACTATGGCACATTGCTAGATGTTTACCATAATCGTTGGACCTTCGGACAGGTTTTCGGATTTATCCAGAACCGGCTCACGGCTAATCCACGGTGGACCTACATGGTCACACCAATAGCCTTGAGAAGTTAGAGAAGGATGAGAGAGAGAAATAATTATCTGAAGAGGGCTAGCACCTTCCGAGGGTAATGACGGAATTTCTATGGTAATAGTTACATAGAAAATTGTTTGTGACATTTTAAGGGTTAAAATGGTCAATCAATAATTAATTATATTTAATTATTATATCTTAAAGCGTTAAGATTAATGAGATGAACGAAAATAACATTTTAATAGTTAAAGGGTAAAAGGGTAAATTTATGGGTTGTTAATGTAAACTACTAGTTTAGTTTACATGGGCCCTTGAATAATACTGATTATTCAAGGGTAAAATAATAAATTTGTGGGGTCATTTTGAAATAAGATTTTATTGGGGCATAGAAATGAAAAACAACTAATTGCAAAAATTACCCAAGTATATATAAATGCAAATGGTTGCATTTTAGTTCATTTTTCACTTTGTTCACTCAAAGCAAACTAAAATCTCTCTCTCTAAGCCACGACCATTCTCTAACTCACTCGAGGTGGTGTTAAAGTGTGGAGGTCTCATCATTTTCAGTCTCGTCTTCATCAACCCAAAGCAAAGGAGTAGGTATAATGCTTTTTCCAAACTTTGTTTGAAAACGTTTTTTTTTTTTTAATCCAACCTTTCATGCTTTCAATCTTCATTTCCGCCACTCTTCATGCATGTTGTTCTTTCAAATGTCACGTGCCATTTGGGCTACAATGGGGAATCGACTTTCATGTTGGTTTCACCATTGAAGAATATCCATGTCACGTTTCTCCTTCATCGTCATAAAGGACAGGTCCACTTGTAGGTAGCGATTCAGCCCATTTGGTCCATGTATGTACGAGCTGGAGCTGCTACTTTCACCATGTTCCATATATGTTCACTTGCTCGATCCTTGACGGAGGTCTGCATCAGGGTCCTGATCGTCTCTCTCGAACGTTCCACTTCCACTTCTATTGTATCTGTTCTCATGTAAAGAAAAAAGGTTATCCAATTTTTGTTTAAAGTCAGTCAAATAAGACGTATAATCGTGTCCTAAATGTTGGCCTAACTCAGTAATTATACAGTTAACTACATGTAATTTAAACATAGGATCTACAACAAGACCTAATCCATATAAGAATGGAATAAAATACTTCTCATATTTTTCTTCCATCTTTAAGACAATTTTCCTTAAAACATTATTCTATCTATATTTAGCAAAAGTTGTAGCAATTTGAAGTAAAATATCTAACACTAAATTAGTAGTCGGATAATAAATAACACTGAGTAGAATCATAAAAATTTTTAAGAAATGAATAACAAAGTTCACAAACCGCCCAATCATCATAGCTAACAACTTCCTCTGGATAGTACTTTCGGTTGACGAAATCTATAATTTGTTTTGCGGTTGGCAAATCTTCTAACATCAAGTAGGTGGAGTTCCAATGAATAGGCATGTCTGTACATAACTTCAAAGGTCGAACCGGTGGGTCCTCTTGCTTACAATATTTAACGTACTCCTGCCATCTTTTATTGCTACTGTCGACGATAAATCCGATAGCCACGCATACCATCTCCATCTTCGAATGTATAGCATCTAAACATGCTTTAACTATCAAATTGATGATGTGGCAAGTACATCTCTAGTGACAAAATTTGCCTTCACCACGCGGATCCAATCACTTTTCAAATAAAGAGATTGTCGCGGTGTTAGGAGCTGCATTATCAAGCGTCAACGCTACAACTCTATCAGTTAATAAATATTCTTGCAAAATTTCAAGAATTGTAAAATAAATAGTTTCAGCACTATGTTTTTCATATAATGGTTTAAAACCCATCAATTTTTGTTGTAAACCCCAATTATGATCTAAGAAATGTACTGTGACAGTTAAAAATTCAGTTTTTGATCTACAAGGCCATATGTCTGATGTAAGTGCAATAGATATATTCCTAAAATTTTGAAATTCGTTTTTAAGTTTATTACTTATTTTGTTATAAAGTTTTAGTATATCTTTTCTACTTGTACTTTTACTAACTGGGTATATGCGGGACAAAATGCAGTTTTAATTATGTGAATAAAATAAGGATTTTTATATAAAAAATGAGAGAGTCCGTAGCAACTATGAATCTTGCTATTTCCTCTCGTGCAACATATGCATTGTTGAGAGAGTTGAGGATTATGGATTAAAATTAAGTTGAGTTTAAATTTGTCTACCTGATCCGGTTGAAGATGTACTGGGCAACTGCATTATTTGAGGGTACTTCTTCTCCACGTGTCGTCGCATCATCGAAGTCCCCTTCTCGATACCAATAATGGTTCCACAGAAATTACATACCCCACACGATTCTTCCCCCTCCCCATTTGTCTTTGGCCGTTTTGATTTGGTGAAGTGTCGTCATACATCAGACACAACTCTCTTTGATGGTCGGAGAGGTTGGGCTATGCCTGTGCTCGTTGACTCATAGCTCACATGTGTTTGGCTACACCTTGTCCCGATCGAATGTGGTTGTGGAATTGCAGTTGCTGCCTCTGGAGGAAATGGTGAAAATGGATTGAACCCTTCTATTTCTTCGGTGGATGGAACGTAAAACTCATTCGGGGATGATTCTCCGAATGCATCATTTCGGGAATCCATTATGAATTTATGATAAAATAATAAATAATTAAAATGAAAAAAAATAATAATATGAATAAGAGATGATATTGAAAAATTGAAAAAATTGAATAATATAAATAAATAAATTATATGAATAAATTATAACTATAAATTGAATGAGAATTTGATTGGAGATTTGGAGTAAAGAGATTGAGAGAATGAAATATTTTAAAGTTATTTATAATGTAGTTGCAGGGGAGAGGGGGGAATGAAAAAAAAAAATCTTGCTCGCCCCCCAAAATGACCGTTGGCTGGCAGCCAATGGTTATTAAAGAAAAGTAATTTTTTTTTTTTTAATAAATTTTGTAAAATCTCTTTTAACCCCTATAATTTATGTTTATTTCAAAATTTATAGAGGGTTTTATTTAATTATACAAGGGACTAAAACAAAAATGTTTAAAAAAATTTGGGCCCAGGCTCAGGCCTTGGAGGAGGGCCCAGTGGAGGGACCGAGCCTTTCTCCTTAAGCCTGGTCCCGTTTTGGGACCAGACCTCCTAGGACTGGGTTTTTGGACCCAGTCTCAAATGCCCACCTCTAGCTAACCTTAGTGACTAAAAGGTTTGTCATTTGACCACAAGGGGAGAGGTGCATTTTGCTAACAATAAGAATGTAATTTTTATCCATTTGACTTATGGTCGGATGACAAGACTCTGAATTACTTAAAAGTCTTGTGTTTGAATCACACAAAGTAATCACCTACCATATTTTTAACTTACCTGTCAATTAGGTAATTTACTTGTTCATTAGGTCGGGATTAGCTGAGGTGTGCGTTAGTTAATCCGAACACCCTAGTTACCAAAAATAAATAGATTTTTTTTCTAAAATAATCAGAAATACTCTTTAAAATTAAATTACGAAACATTAAGGGTGTATTTGGTTCAGGGAATGTTATATTACTGAGGAATGTTGTATTACTGAAAAGATAGATTACTAGAGAATCTTTAGATAAACGTGTTTGATCAGTTGGAATAAATTGGTGGGTATGTTATAATAATATATTTGGTTGAGAGGATAAATTAGTGGGTATGTTATGTAGATTACTAAATTACCTTTCTTTTTAAATAATAATATAATATTATTTTTATTTTATTTTTTAAATTATTTCTTTTAACCCCCCTATATTTGAAATTTTGCTAAAACACCTCAACCATATACAATTTTAATTTGTAGCAAAATCACCCCCACCTACCATCAGCCATCGTCGGTAGCCAACGTAATGGTGCACGACCGGCCAGATTTGGCTGATCGTGCATCGGTAAGGCCTAATCCAGCCAAATATGGCCGTGAATATGATTGTTTTACGGCCAAAGATGTGACCGTTTCACAGCCATAGATCTAGCTATGAAAAGGCTAGATCTTCGGTCGTGAAACGACGACCATTTCATGATGGATCACAAATCCATGGCCGAAATCGTCCTTACCGGCAAGATCCTATCTGTCTTGTGTCGATATGACAACTTTCACCGACAACCAGTGGTGGTCTTGGGTGGTTGGGGGTATTTTGTTAACTTTTAAACTTTTTTTGTGGCGAGGGTGTTTTAGCTAATTCTCAAATGTAGGGGGTCTGGGTAATTGTTATTTGGTAGACATATGAGGGCACATGTATCCGAAATGATAAAAGATTAAGGGCAAAATAGGATCAAAATTAAGATTACCTCAATAATCTTATATAAACACCCCTTGAGAAAGTAATCTGATTACTTTCAATATTACTAACAGTAAATACTATTTACAATAAAAAATTATGTAATATTTTATTACTTGAAAACTAAATAAAAAAATCTTAAAAATTAAACAGAGATTACAAAATTAATCTTATATCACCCCGAGCCAAACACTACCTATGTAAATTATGATTTTAATGCTTAAATCAATACTTGGAAGTCAATTGTGAGGCTTCTATTTGACTCAATTCCATCTCGCCAATGAAACTCTGACACATAGCAGATTCCAGTAGTTATCACCGTAGGAGAACTATTGACTCATCCGTGAACCCTTTCCTCTCGCATTGCATAGCCTCCAAAACCCTCTCTGCTCCTGCTTAAACCCTTGAATATCTAAGTCTATTCAGTTCTCATTTACAGTTTTAGCCAAGATGGTCAGCGAAAGACAGAAACTAGCTCGCAAGCGATACAAAGAAGAGCACCCAGAGTTCTTCCCAAAGCCAGAGCCGACGGCCCCGAAAGACCCGGACAAGAAGAAAAAAAAGAAGACCTTCAAGCGCAAAAAATCAGAGTCTAAACAACCCAGGGACCCAAATAAACCCATTAAAAAGAGTTTCAAAAAACACCCACTTAGAGTCCCTGGCATGAAGCCTGGGGAGAGCTGCTACATTTGTAAAGCCAAAAACCATATAGCCAAACATTGCCCTGAGAAAGCTCAGTGGGAAAAAAATAAGGTTTGATAATTTTTTTTTTTTAATTGAAAAATTGACTCTGTTCATATTTTATACGTGGGTTTGGAGTTAATTGATTTTGTATGGTGTTTTGCAGATATGTTTGCTTTGTAGGCACCGTGGACATAGTCTAAAGAATTGTCCTTCTAAGAGTGAAGAGACTGAGAGCAAGAAGATGTGTTATAATTGCGGCAAAACTGGGCATTCACTTGCACAATGTCCCCAACCACTTCAAGATGGTAATTGTTCTTTTAATTAATTTAGGATACTGAAAATTGGTTAATTATGTGTTTGGATAATATTTTTCATTGAAATTTTGATATACTTGGTTTTTTAATTTTCTGTAGTTAGTTTGTATAGTGACCTCAATTCAGTTGATTGCTTGATGGTGAATGATACATGACATTGCATCTTATAAATACTACATTTGATTTTATTTATTTAGAGAATTCATTAAAAAAGAAAAAAAAAAAAAATCATATTTTGGAGTATGTTGGTACATTAATCTTCACAAGATAGGTGTTGTTCATAACCATTACAGGTTATGATTAATAGTCGATTCTTTATCAATTTCAATTGTCATGGACTGTTGAAAACTATGAAAAAATTTTGGGGTTTGGAATTTTCAATCTATTGACATATACTATCACTAGGAGTTGGCTGCAGCAAATAATTTGAAGAGCTTTTTTAATTAAGTTGTTTTTACTATTTGTCTTAAATATTTTGTCAGACATAATCTCATTTCAGCCTGTAGTTTCTAAAGGTATATATGAGATCAAACACCCTTGAAGTTTAGGATTGTGCATGATAAGCTATTTTTATCTACCAATAGTATACAAATAAAATGCTCTGTAATTAGTGGTGGATTTCAGTTTAGAGATAAATGAGGTTAGAGTTTTGAAGAATGCCTCATATAATATGGCAATTTCAATCATATGTATGCAAGGGGGACATTTCAGAGTAGTCTAGGTCAGGGCTTTGAAGAATAATTATTGATCATTTTGGTAAAGGGAGATTCTCCCTCTTTTTCTCTTATTCTATAGCAAACAATCTTACGGACATTTTTCTCAAGTCTCAACCTACAAAGTTTAGGGAAAGGTTTACCGAGGGGAAAAATAAGGGGAAAAAAATAAGAGTTTGCCATTTATATGGTGCACTTTGTAGCAGAATCACACTCTTAATGTTTGACTTCATGATTGTGTATTTGTAATCAAATGTAAAAAATATGGGACAACTTATGCATGACCAAAGGAGATCTGAACTTATCTAATGGCATACTTGAATTTGGGGTTTTTATCCTTTTTTTCCCATGGAACATGATGAGCGTCTTGGGTAATGTAGGTGGAACAAAATTTGCCAGTTGCTTTATCTGTAAAGAACAAGGACATCTAAGCAAGAACTGCCCTCAAAATACGCACGGAATCTACCCAAAGGTAAGTTATGACTATTTCCATATCTTTGTTTCATTCAGAAGAGGGGCCATACTCTGATACACAAACCTAAGTTTCTGGCTGCTTCATGCGAGTATGCAGGGGTTGGTTCTTGAGAATGGCCACTTTTATTTTAAATGCTGGATGCTAGGACTGTATCTAGGCCATTTCCTTAAAGACCATGCTTAAGTGAGACCCTCTCTGGTAACCCATATGCTTGGTTAAATGGCATGACTTTTGGTTTGCAACCAAGATATCATGGGTTCAAATTCCCATGTGGCTACCTACTTTGAATATTATAGCCATTGCTTCCAGACTACTGATTGTTGTCGTATCAAATAGTCCCTAGTTTCAAACTTGGTACCTAGGGTTATTAAGAAAAAGGAACTCTCGCTGTAAATGGACAATGAGCTCTTCTGTTAGAATGAAGACCATCGTATCTTTGTTGATAAATGGGTTGGGACATTCTAATATTCCTCTCATGTCGAGTCTGACACATTTTTATTTTGGCTTTTTCTTAGGGTGGCTGTTGTAAGATATGTGGTGGTGTAACACATTTGGCAAAAGATTGTCCTAATAAAGGCAACAGAAGTTCTGCCCCTACAAGAATAGAAGGTAACATGTTCAAGTTTCTCATTGCTATAGCTCAATTTTACCCTAATAATGTTGATGCTAATGATACATATATATGTATGATCTCTTCATTTCAGCGTTTGAAGATATGCCAAGGGGACAGGTGACCAAATTTGTTAGTGGTGATGATCTTGATGGTGACTTTGTGATAGAAGAAGCTTCTAGTGGTAACAAAGACAAGTCTGCATCAAAAGTTGGTCCTGTATCTGATTCTAAAGATGGTAATGTAAAGTCAAAGAAGAAACAAGGAACCAAAGTGGTAAATTTTGTAGGATGAAAACTGTCTTGTGATGATTTCATGAACCTGTGTTGTAATATGCACTAAGAGGTAATGTAAAATCAAAGAGGAAAACAAGTCTCTATGGTGGTCAAAATTTTGTAAGATAAGAACTGTCTTGTGACGAAGATTATGAGTTTTTCTTTTATATACGCCAAGAGATGATAGCTATTTTTCAGAGTACCTTGGACACTTGAATTCTTTTTTTCCCCAAAGTAACTTGATCATCTTTTCCTGCCATCAATTGTCTCACTTGGAATGAATTTATTAATATCTCTACAATTTTAGCGTTCTGTCCTTTGTTTTAGTTGTGAATTTTGCTGATGTTAATTTTTTCATCAAGTGACATTGGGTACTAATATTTGTTGCACTTTATTGGCCTGAAGTTTATGATAAGCCTATCCTGTTTCAATCACAGATTATATGTTCAGTTAATACTAATTATTGTACACTGTCTCAAATTATTTAGATGTGGCATCAGTAATATTAGGCTTGGTTAGGAAATCAGTTCCTTTTTCAGGAAATAGTTTTGGTGACAAAAATAAATAACCAAAAGCAAAGGAAGATGGCCATTGAATTAATCTTAACGTGGCAACATCTATATGTATAGACTTTCTGCTTTGATGCATATATATATATATATATAACATGAAATGATTAGAAGATTATGAGCCTTGAAAGCTCAGAGAATTCTCAACCTTTGCTTTCTCCCTCAAATTTCTCTAATTAACCAAACCGCATTCTTCGCACCTTTCATGTTTCCCTCAAATTAAGGATCTGTATTCTTCTTCTCTCCAGTTCTGCTTCCTTTTCTCACTTTTATTTTCCTCTCTTCTTCATCATCTTTTCCTTTCTTCATTTCTCATAAGGATCCGACTGACAACATGGTACTTCTCTCTCACTCTGTTTCTTGTTAATTTTTCAATAATATATCTTGTTATGGCTGGCCAACCAATAAAAATGGGAAATGTAATATTAATGAATATTTTTGTAAGTAGAAATAGCTAGATTTCATTGATTTGCAGTTGCATGAGATTCTGTAATATTCAATCGACCACAGTTTCTCTTCGTGGCTTAGCTTGTGGGCATTTCTGCATTTGAAACTCATATAATTTACAAGAGATATTTCAACATTGACAACTTTTTTCTTTTTTCATTAAAATAGAATTTTCATCAGGCAGTAACCCCAGAGTATAAAGATTATTGTGACACTAGTATTTGTCCTCTTTTGATGTTCTTTTTCTAAAAAATTACCAGTGATCAACGTGGTTTTTTCAATATCCTTTCTATTAGTTTCCACTCGTCTTATTTTTGCATTTTTCAGGTTGGAAAATTTGAAAAGTTCTCAAAATATAAAACAGTTTTAAGGCGACTAATAGAACAAATTAATTCTCATCCATAAATATGTAGTGTCCCCAGGATTTCCCACTATTGTATATGTTTATAATAGATGCATTTTTCTACACAATAACCTTTGTAATATACTATAGTAAAGGTGGTCAAGTGTATTTTGGACACGTTTTTTGGTGTTTACAAAAAAGGAATAGGATAAACTTGAACCACCCCTAGGTGGTCAGACGGGACGATAGGGGCTCTTGAATAATATATTCAAGAAGTTTTGAGTTTGATTCTCTTCGGTTGTTAATAAGGACATCCACTAGAAGGTTTATCTGGTCATTAATTTCAGGGTTATAGAAGATTAGTCGAGGTGCGCGCAAGTTGGAGGGATTATGATCAACATTTTCATGTGTTTTACACAAAATTGGAGTCTTTAGATTTCCCTAACATAAAAATCAACTACACCCGTTCTGTAAAGTTTTGTGAAATTACAGTAAAACGAAAACGAAATGTATATAGATAATTGTAGTTTTGTGTTATCATATATCAAATCTTGTTGTCCATGGCATTTCCGTTATTCGAATGCCCTTTCAAAATATCATTCTATAACAAGCTTCTTATGTGTTTTAACTTTGGTGCAAAGTTTGCATCCTGAAATTCATTCTTCATGTATTTATATGTTGTATGGAAATGAAATCATATATATCCAAATGGGTTAGGCGAACGCGGCGTCTGGAATGGCTGTGGATGATGAATGTAAGCTGAAATTTCTGGAACTAAAAGCAAAAAGGAACTACCGATTTATCATCTTCAAGATTGAAAATCAGCAGGTTGTGGTAGAGAAACTCGGTAGCCCTGGTGACACTTACGATGATTTTAGTGCATCTCTTCCTGCTGATGAATGCCGCTATGCCGTCTTTGACTTTGATTTCATTACTAGTGAGAACTGCCAGAAAAGCAAAATTTTCTTCATTGCCTGGTAATGAAATTCCTCCCAATAATTCAATAATTTATCAAAGTGAAGCTGTTACATATATTTACTGAAATAATTTGTTGTTATGTTTGAAGGTCACCTGATTCATCAAAGGTGAGAATGAAAATGGTGTATGCAAGCTCCAAGGACAGATTCAAAAGGGAATTGGATGGGATTCAATTTGAGTTGCAAGCAACGGATCCTAGTGAGATGAGCCTTGACATTGTAAAAGGGCGAGCATTTTAGTGGAATTAAGCTGCCATTTTTCTCTTTCCTTTTTTCCTTAACAATTACGTCTTGAGAGATGTTTTTCATTCTTCTTTCAGAAATTGCTTCTTACATTTTCTTTTGTCTTATGGGTTTTATACTATGTAGTAGTTCAATGTACTATTATGCATACTTTTATCATGTGAAATAGTACATTTCCTTTCCCTTGCCCTGAGTCATTATTTCTTCTGTTATATGAATCATATAGTGCTATTATGGTCCAAAAATTGTGATTATTAAATTAGATGAATCTTCTGTTATACGAAAGGGTTTTGAGATTGAATTATCATCCACCCTTCATGCTTCCAATGATCCAATCTGTTTTGCAGCTTTCAGTTCATGTAATAATCTCCTTAACAGAAACCAAATCTTGAATGATATTGCACTATACAATCTGTTCTGCAGCTTTCAGTTCATGCTCTTTGAGCCACTGAAAAGTGAGCCTCTCTCTTGTTTGCCTTGCTTATAAATACCCATTAGCTCCGAAAACATTCAACAAAAGAGTTCTAAACCTGGATTTTATAAGTTGTATGTAAGAGTTGGAGGGAACTA